CTCCAGCCCCAACATGAATACATTTCATTTGATTAAATCTACCTCTCACCCCTACTTCCACCACCACGCCTCCATTTAATGGGGGCTTCTGACCTAGAACATGCATACTGGAGCTGAAATCATTTGTTTTAACTCTCACTTTTGTTTACTGTGTCTTGTGATGTAGGACACTATTCTCACTTTTTCTGTGCCTTAAGTTTCTCATGAGTAAAATATTCATAACAATACTCACCATGATAATAAATACTAGTTAGGTGTTACCTCTTATCACCATTATTGATGGTGCATCAGCAGTATCACCACTATATACTAGTGTTACCACTAAAGGATATAGCTTGCTCAGGAATAGAGAGCTAAAGGTGGAATCAACACAATTGGTTTTTTTTCCGCCCCAAGGCCAATTATACCCCACCTCCTACTCTCTTGCCATCTCAACATTCATGGTCTAGAGAAGAAAGAGAAAGGATGAGAAATCTCCTGTTGCCCAAGTACACATTGTGAGAACAAAGTTTCACCAGCCAGGGTCAGGTGTAGAGGCCCAATGACATTGTCTGGTGTTTAAGTTCAGTAGTAGCTCTGTGACCATCATGTGGAAAACATGAAGCACCAGGAAGAGGGAACCTAAAAGGCCCAGTACTAGATTAAAGGTAAAGCCCTGGGAAGGTTAGTCAAGAGCCAGCCCAATCTACATGACTGTGAATAACATAACTGGTCCTCCGTAGCATCTGAGCATTCTCTGCCCCACCTACTTGCAAATGAAAAGCCTTCAGTGGTCATCTGAAGCTTTGCATGCAGAACCCAGAGTTTAGCCCCTCAGCATGGCATATAAAGCCACAGAAGATTCCAGAAAGATAATGTACCCTGGCCAGGAGCTTATTAAGGAAGAGGGAAGGCCATTGACATGGCTCAGTGGGTAATACCTGCTGCCAAATCAGATGACCTGAATTTGATCCCGGGAACCCAGAGACTGTGGCAGTAAGAATAATAGAGGGATGTCGATGTCGTTTTATGCCAGAGTGCCTCTGTGTCACTTAGGCAAAAGTGCCATCCTGGCACTTCTGTTCCTGACTGAACGGAGGTATAGAGCATTTGCCAGCCTATGTAGCAGGTGAGCAGCTACATATTGTAAACAAATCTGTATCTTGTCCTTTGAGGGAAGTTAAAACCCAATTTTCTGTCTGTCACAAGGCTTTGGTTAGTGAACACAAAGATTAATTCACTTACCTTTGGTCTCTCTGGGGAAACGCTGACCTCAAGATGTCCTGTGCCCCTCTGGTGCTTTCTAAGAGGTGCTCTGTTGTAGATGTACCTATATCTAGATATCATATAGAACAGTTGGATACTGGCTCAGTTTTACGTGGGCTGGGGAAGAGCTGGGCTGACTGAGAGCATGAGGGTGTTGGGCCTCAGAGGGCTTGGCTGCCAAGGCAAGTGATGGAGTGGAAGACCTAAATGTGGGGACCAGAGGGATATGACTTGGGCTCAATATGGACACAGGCATTGGTTAAGCCACTCGACCTCTGTGATACTTGATTTCGTCAGGAAAGAGAGTGATCACACACCTCCCTGAAGACTGCTGACGAATCATTTGGCTACTTCATTGAGACTTCATGTAGTGTTAGCTGAGCCTGAGGGTTAAAGGGTATGAGTGATGGTGCATCGCGTAGTTAGCTGCATGATCAAGGGACAAATCAGCTACTCTCTGGCTCATGGTTTCCCCTTCTTCCACTACTTCTTCCGCTAGGTGCCATGGTTAATGTATCTTTCCTACTTACTCAAATGTTACAGGATGACAGGCGATGGAGGCCAAGGAAGTGCTGTGTAACCTGGAAAGAATTATACAGAAGTTACTATCATAAAGACCATAGTAACACATTTCAAATGCTTAGGATTCGGCAAATACTGACTTAAGTGCCTCACTTAGGTGTCACTGAATTTGATTTTAATCTCATTCTAACAGTTTTGCTAGGTGGAACCCTATTTACTATTTATTTTTCAGTTAGTTATACTAAGGTACAAAGAGCTTAAGTAATTTTGCCCAAGGTTACACAGATAGGCATAAGAACAGGGTAGAGACCAGAATCTTCAATCCCAGCCAACCAAATTTCAAAACCTAATGAAGTATTAGTTGTTAGACTTACATTGGCATCATGTGATTCCTATTTCTAAGTTTCTCTCTAAATAGGGTGTGTAGTGATCCACTGGACTTTTAAGCCATGGTGCTCCACAGAGCTGTTAATTTGTCCTCCTTATCCCATAAACATCTTAGGAACATGTGCTTATAACCACAAACAGACACATCTGTGGGCTGAGAATGGATGGATTGATAGAGACATAATTCAAAGACAGGTGGTAGATTATAGAAACATGCTCCAAGATAAAGATAAGAATAGCCATGTAAAATGCAGGACTCTGGGGGCTGGAGAGATGGCTCAGCAGTTAAGACACTGGCTGTTCTTGCAGAAGACCTGGGTTCGAATCCCAGCACCCACATGGCAGCTAACAGCTGTCTGTAACTCCAGTTCCAGGCACATGGCAGCTAACAACTGTCCGTAACTCCAGTCACAGGGGATCCGACATTGCCAGAGGTGCACTTATCTACATGCAGGCAATACACGAATACACATAAAATAAAAATAATAAAATATATTTTTTTAAAAAGCAGGACTCTAGCAGAACCATTTTCAGACTCATAATCTTGTTGGAGAGAGTACTGGCTTGAGAAAAAAGGTATCATAGTAACAGCAAATGGTGAACTTTTTCCCGCTGCACACCATGATAAATGCCATTCACATGTGCAACATGGTTGGTCCCATGAAACTGCCAAGATTTTAACAATACCCCTCCCCAATTTTCTTGTGGAAAATTAAAACAAATAATAGAAAATTTATTTTTATCAATCCATTTTATAGACTTTGGTTAGTGAAATTACCCAGTTAAGTAGCTAAAAAAAATATTGTCCCAATAATTCCATTAAATTCAACAAATTTTTTATGTCCTGTGGTATACAGTACAGTAGCCACTAGCCACATGTGACTATTTGAATAAAAAACTCTCAGTTCCAGAGCCAGGTATCATGGGACAAATGTGGCAGAAAGAATGGCTGGACTCTTGGGTGAGGGTCTAATAATCCTCCACCCATTCTTCTTTGAGCTCAATCTTGAGGGCTTCGGGCAAGTAATCACAGCTGCTCTGATGAAGATAGTAAGAGCTGTTATGTTCCGAGGGCAGCATCCTACAACAGGGGTCAGGGAAGGACAGAGAGCAGGAGAAAGGTCTAAGAGGGGATGACTAACCTGAGGATAGGCAGGCAGGAAAAGAGAAAGGAAGACTTCATACACAGGAATAGCAATCTTCGAACTTAAAAAAGGCAAAAACCAAAACTACCTTATTTTCTGTAACTGAATTTCATAACTAATATTTAATGTTTTCTAAACACTACTGAAGGACAAGCTTGAATAAAACTTATTTCATTATTAAAATTTTAATACAACAGATCTCAAAAGAAGTCAAATGCAAATGTGTTTACAGTATGATTCCATTTATATGCAATCTGGGATTGGCAAAATTATTTCTATGATGTAGAAATCAGAAGAGTGGTTGCCTCGGGGAGGGATGGTAGGCTAGGTTTGGGAGCTGGGACCAACTACAAAGGATTCAGTAGCAGTTTCTGATGTTCTGTCAGGTAGGACACTGGTTACACAGGTGCGTGCATTTGCCAGTGTTTGTGGAGCTGTTTGGTTTCTGTGTATTACACAGATAGTAAATTACACCTCAGTTAAAATTACATGCTGAATTGATACATGGTGGATAGATTAGATAAATGGTAGGTGATAGCTGAATGATGCATGGATGGATAGATGGATAGATCAATAGATGGATAGATGATAGACATATAGATAGATAAAAGACAGAACTGTAACTTGTTTTCACTAACAGGATTGAAATTATGAAAGTGTTCCTTTGTCTTCTAGTGACCTTGTCTCTGTGAATCTCATGTCTCAACTGGAAGATTTGGGGCACTCTTCCTGATCTTGTGTGGTGTGGAAATAATTGTGTTGCTCTTGCTTTTTTCCATTGTTTGAGACTTTCTTTCTAATCAAAAGTGGACAATTAATAAAGTATGGGGGCTAGAGAGGTGGTTCAGCGGTTAAGAGCATTGGGTACTCTTTCAGACGACCTGGCTTTGAATCCCAGAACCCATATGGTGGCTAACAACCATTTATAACCCCAGTTCCAGGGGGTCCGATGCCCTCTTCTGACTCCCATGGGCATTCCAGGACACAGGCACACTTACACACAAGCAAGCAATATACTCATACACATAAAATAAAAATAATAAAATATTTTTTAAAAAAGAAAATTGCCAGAAGATTGCAAATGCTATTATTTGGGAATGGAAAGATTTACTCAAAGTGAATTTATTTCTCCTTTTCATCATCTCTTCTTCCTCCTTCTCCTCCTCTTCTTTGCCACCGTATTATTATTTGAAATAAGGAACATATATTCTTTTTATAATTTGAAGCTCAAAAAGTCATCCTGCTGATCCAGGCATTGTGTGGCAGCATACTTCTTTAATCCCACCACTTGGCAGGCAGGTCTATATTAGTTAAAGGCCAGCCTGGTCTACATAGTAAGTTCCAGGCCAGTCAGGGCTACATAGGAAGACCCTGTCTCAAAAAATAAAAAGCAAGCAAAGAACAACAACAAAAGTCATCTTGCCATGGCTGGAGAGGGTATGATTATCCATGAGTGCCATGCAGTCATGTGACTACTCGGGTCTTATATTCTAGTCAGTGACACATTTCTGTTGACACAGCAGGCTCTGTGGTGGATCAGTACTGGTGGGGTCTTGGTAAGTGCTGCCACTTTGTTCCTTGTCTAACCACATTCTTCTGATCCCTCTCACTGTGACCCTGGGGATACCCTGGAACATCTTGGGTTTGCTTGGTCGTGTTTTCTGTCTGCCCTCACTGCTTCTCTCTCTCCCTGTTCCCCAGATTCTTACCTGACCCTCGATGAACCGATGAATAACATCACCACATCCCTAGGGCAGACAGCCGAATTGCACTGCAAAGTATCTGGGAATCCACCTCCCACCATCCGCTGGTTCAAAAATGATGCACCCGTAGTCCAGGAGCCACGGAGGATCTCCTTCCGGGCAACCAACTATGGCTCTCGACTACGGATTAGGAACCTTGACACCACAGACACCGGCTACTTCCAGTGTGTGGCAACAAATGGCAAGAAGGTGGTTTCTACTACTGGAGTCCTGTTTGTCAAGTTTGGTAAGCGGTCTCCAACTGGAAGGCCCTTGACCCAATGGAGCAGGATATCCAGAGTCCACAAAGCAAGGAGGGAAGACAGGAGCACTTACTGAGACCCACAGTTGGCACCATTGTGTCCATTTTACAAATAAGCAACCCACATCTCAGCAGGGAGTTACCATGGTCAGGGTGGCCCAGCTAGAAAACAACCATAGTAGGATGGGGGGTACCAGTTCTCTCTGACACCCCCCACCACTGCACCCATTGAGTTCGGAACACAGGTGTTCCTTGTTCATGGGCATGGGGAGTGTTTACGTCACTCTTCTGTCCAGCTGCCCTCAGAGACTCAGCTACTGCAAGGGATAGCCTCATGCAGTCACCAAGCCTCCTAGAGGGACCCCTGCAAAGACTAGGGGTCACACTGTGTTGATGGTGTCTTTACATTTGTCTGAATATTTTTTAGAACCTGTGCTATGGATGACACAGAAGCGGTTGGGGGATAACTGGGGCAGAACACTAAAGCTCAGAAAAATTAGGTGGAAACTTTAATGTGTCATTGGTTGAGGCATGCACCCTCCTGTTACTCAGACTGTTTCTTTTGTTTTTCTCTCATTTCTCCAGGGCCTCCTCCGACTGCAAGTCCAGGATCCTCGTAAGTATTCCAAATCTCCATCCTCTGTCATTTCTAAGCATTTCTCCATAGGTTTCTGGGAGGAAGCCATGTTGTCCCATACTGGGGCCAGAACACTCTTTTTCCAGACACTGTTGCCTTCGCTTTCCCTCTGATGTGAAGAGTCGCAGGAGACCAGCCCTGGCAGTAATCTCTAGCCTGGCAATCTTGAATCTGACTGATCAAAGCAAACCTCTTCTTGCATTTACTGTTTTTAAATTAATCTAACAGTTAGCGGCAACAATGGATTTGGTGAAATCAAACAAAAAATGATAGAGTGCTGGCCTAGGAACGTTTCCTCGCTGCTAACAGGGTCTGTTTTACATTCTGCAAACTTTTCTGATGCTTTGAATTATTGAACAGGGCAAAATTAGGTAATCGCTCTATTTTTATTCCCTTCAGAGAACTCAGATGCTGGAGTTCTAACTCGCAAAGGAGAGGGAGAGCCACATCTTAGACTGAGAGTTCCCTTGTTAATGAAGTCTAAGGATTTCATTTCTTTAAATGATGCTATTGTTGATGCGTTTATTATTCTGGCTGAAGGATTCTCATCTTTCATTCTAGAAGCATCCACTTGGGGAGATTTTTTTCTTTATGTATATTTGTATTTGGAGAAAAAGACCCCATTTATTCAAACTCTTGCTCTGCAAGAAAATATCTCCCATACTTTGTAGACTTCTGAAGGAGCACTCACCAGCTCTGCCAGGAAAGCATCAGCATGCCTGGCCTGGACCACACCAGGGAGAGTGTAACAGCTACTTAGCATGCTCTAATCCCCTGTGTGCTGCTTAATTACAGTGTGGGGTATTTTAGTGCATTGGTGTGTGCCTGAAGGCCCAGTGGCCCACAATCCCATTAATAAAAATAGGTACTGGCTAAAAATAAACATTGGTCTTCAGCCACACTGCTCTGCTATTTCATCAGTCAGTTAAAGGCATCTGTGAAGGAATCTCTAAAATCAGCAAATGCTAATTGCATTCTGCTCTCTGAGATCGAACTTCTGTTGGTCAGCCTTGCATTTCTTGAAGCTAAGTTTTTCTTTAAAGTTGTCTCAACCAATTCCATCATATGTGGAATTCTTTTGAGGTCTTATTTAAACAAAGATTAAAACTTTTTTTACATGCTGTAAAAATGCTTCCCACACTGGTCATAATTGTTCATATTAATCTGTGTTCCAAATGAGGCTGATAATCCAGTCACAGGGTGATTTTTTTTGTGGTTCACTAACCTTCCTTTACCGTTCTGCCCAGGGCTATTGACTTTCACCCTGCTGTTTTTGCAGGAGGAAGTTAATCCTTTGTAATCTAAGTCCCTTTTAAACACAGACATGGCCTTACTTGTGGAAGCTGTTGCTCTCTTTGCTGCCATCTTTCTGGTGACCCCAGTGTCTTATGGTTTAGTTTTATACAAAGATGATTTAGCAGATTTGTAAGCCGATATCCCTGGAGACACTGAAGTTTCTTAAAGACAGTGAAAGGTATCTGTTGACATCAGATACTTGTGTTTCTTGTTTGTTGTCTACGTGTCTATTGTGTTTAATTAGCAACAGCACCCTAGGCATAGCTGCCACGTTTGCTTGGAGCGGCTTATCTAAAAATGTGAAACCCACATTGGAAACTCCATAGGGCTTTTTCACTTCAATCTCCATCTTCTTGGCATTCTTAACTGGCGTTTTGATACACTTTGCTTCTTTTTTCTTTTTTTTCTATAGTATTAGTTATTACTATTATTATTATTATTATTATTTAGTGTATGTGGTATATGCATGTGTGTGTGCACAGGGGCATGAGCCCATGCATGTGCTTAGGCTAGGGAATGCTGTCAGATGTCCTGTTCTTTTGATCTCCACTTTAACCCCTTGAGTCAGGGTCTCTTACTGAACTTAGAGCTAGGCTGGCAGCCAGCAAGCCCCAGGGATCCTCCTGTCTCCTCTTCTTCCAATCCCCAGTGGTGGGGTTATAGGCACCCTCAATAATGCCTGACTTTTTATGTAGATTCTGGGCACTTGAACTCAAGTCCTCATGTTTGTACAGTAAGTGCTTTTACCTACCGAACCATCTCCCCAACCCCAACAGTTTTTGTTTCTTTCTCTTAAAAATTCATGGCACATTCTGAGTTTTTCTTCCCTCAATGCCACCACTTACTTAGTTTTTATGCACTCCTAAGACTAACTCCCAAATATAATAGTAGTTCTCATCCCTGTCCTCATAGCCCCTAGAGAGCCAGCAAACCTAGAAACAGGCAGAAGTTAACAGAGAGCCCTGGGGACATTATGGCATTGAGGATAACGTGGTTGGCCTTCTGTTAAATTGTACACTGCTTTGTCCCAGAATAAAAGTGGCATGCAGTTATAAATTGCCATGTACTTGAAAGTGGCACAAAGTCACTGAAAATAAAATAAAATGAGTATCCAAGACACAGTGGAACACATTCAGCAGATCAAAGCAGTGAGATATAGTGGTATGTAGACACTCCTTTGGGGGGAACCAACAGCTTCAGGTTTTCAGGATAGTGTTTTAGCTGAGACTAGGAGCAAGTTTGAGGTTTTTGACTGGCTCTGTTTATAACCCCAATCTTTATTTCTGCTGTTTTTGCTTGGCGCTGGCCTACCCTGGCAGTTACAGGGCCTGGGGCATGAGCACAGTGAAGGGCACGTACATTAAAAGGTATAAATCAAGCCAACAAAACTGCTAAGTGAAATATGCTCTATCCACCCACATTGACAAATTTACCTTCATACCCGCGAATAAAAAATATCTGTGTAAAATTGCAGTTTTTCTATGCCTGAAAGCCTAAACTATCAAAAGTTAATGCTTTAATCATTATTTTGTATGACTGAATATTCTGTTCATGGGTCACAAATAATTATATTTAATTTGTAGATTTTTTTATATTAGGCCCATAAAATATTTTTAACTTCATTTCAGTAAAGAGCTTCTTATGTTATTTTACACAAGGTCTTTATATAGTGTATATTCTATTGACAGTAATGCCAAATTAGATAAACTTCCCTGAGTCACTGTAATCCCTATTTCTATTTTTTTAAGATTTTATTATTTTCTTTTATAAGTGTTTTGCCTGCATATATGTAAGTGTACTATGGCACGTCCAGTGCCTTTGGAGGCCAGCAGAGGGTGAATCCCCTGGAACTGGAGTTAAGGATGGGTGTTAGCTGCCATGTGGATGTTGGGAACTGAACTCAGGTCCTCTAGAAGAGCAGTAAGTGTACTTAACTGCTGAACCATCTCTCCAGCCCCAATCCCTTTTAAAACCTCCTTCCATCTGAAGTAACATCTAGAGCCAATGGCAGATATCAGTAAAATTCTTAAATAATACTTAACCTAGGGGACAAATTAAGAATTGTATGTACCATGTTCAAACAGACATGGGATCGTATCTGATAACTATCATTACGGAATATGCTACAGATTGTGTAATTTTATCATGTGCATCAGTTGTACATATGCACAACCCCTTAATCTATACAAATTGAAGAGTACAGTCACCTGATATTCATCAGTGGGGATACATCTAGAAAAGGGCATCATCAGGCAACTTCCTCATTGTGCACCAAAGAGTGTATTTACACACAGCTAGATCGTATAGACCAGTCACTTGATATAATCTCTGATGGAATCATGACACATAGTAAATAAGAGATGCGGGAGGCTGCTGCCAGCTTAACACAGCATACTGTCTTATAATAAATATTTTTAGATGTACACTCTAAATTATGATGAAAAGCGCAGTGAAGAATTGTGTCGTAAATATGTAAACCAATGACGTGGATGTTCATCATGATAAAATACTATGTACAGTACATCATTTGTGGTATACCTTTACATGATAGCCAGGACTGTAGGTTTCTCTAATACCAGTATGACCCCAAGCACACATCACAGTCTAAGATATTAGAAAGGCTGACAGCACTAGATGATAGGAATTTTCACCTCCATCATCTGAAGGGGCTACCGTTAGAGATGAGGCCCAGTGTTGACCAAATCATCATTGTGCAGACAGTAGTGTAATAGGAATTGCATAGTTATTTTGTAAGGCGTCTCTAACAAAATATTGTAAACCATATGGCTAAAACTTTAGAAACTTAACATCAAATAGTGTGGAAGCTAGACATCCAAGATCAAGGCAGCCTCAATGCTTGGTGTCTTCTGAGTATTACACAGAAGGATTTCTATCCTCTCCTGGGGTAGTCAGTACTTTCTGGCCTTCCTTGGCTTGTGGCTGCTTTGCCTTAGCCGGGGCCTCCATGGTGTTCTCTCTGAGAAGTTCTCTCGAAAGCCCCTTTTTGTAAAAACAGCAGTCACACTGTGTTAGGACTCACATCATTAATCTCATTTTAACTTGACCTCTGTAAAGACCTATTTCCATCTAAGATTGCTTTCTGAGGTGCTGGGGGATAGAGCTTCTATATTGTAGTGTGTGGAGGGGATCCATTTTAACTGATAACTCTTCATATTGCAAAACCTTTCTCAGCCATGTGAAACGCTCACTAAGTGTATTTTCCTAGTATTTGAGAGCATTCAGAATCACTGGTTGGAATATAATGGGAAACATAAAGATAGGTGCTTGGTAATATTAAAAATTATGTTTGTTGTGCAAAAATATTGCATTTGCACTGAGAGGAAGCTTGGACTCCAAGGCCAGAGGGCGAAATGTGTGGAGCTCCTCTGGAGCCAGAACAGTGTTGGTCCCAGGAGTGATGTTTAAGGTTCTGATTAGACTGTTCCAGCATGGATGCCAGTCTCAAGGCACAGAAGGTCCAGTATGGACTTAATCTTATTAAAGTCATTTTGTCTTTTATATGAGGGCACAGGGCAGGTTTCCTTCCTTCCTTTCTCCTGCCCTTCTTTCTTTCTTTTCTTTTTCTTCCTTCCTCTCTTTCTAACTAACAGTTTTACTGACCATATGTTTTATTGACCATAAAATTTATCATTTTAAAGTGTTCATCTCAGTGTTGTTATGCA